CAGTTTTTCGCCGATGCAGTATGAGTATCTACTGTATATACATGTAGAATTACAGTACAGGAGTGTTGTACAGTAGTGACCGCTACCGGCAGCTTTCCCAATTGGATGCCATTTGGGAGGTTTTGCTTCCTCAGTTTTAATGAATATTTTAAATCAGTAATTCTTTGAAAAAGTTGGGCTTAGACTTTCTTAAGAGAAGTTTAGCGTTTGCGCACACACACACACATTGACACAGAGGTTATTTTTTTATAAATAAATTTTTCATATTTTTTAAAACCATACAGTTTTGCTATAACCAATGAAATAACAGATGCCTTATATGGAGGGCCCTTTTTGATGTCACAACAGAATTGAATTCCGGAATGGCATATGACATCATTGACTGGTCAGTGATGTCACAGAAGATTTTCTATATAAAGAACACTGTCACCTTCACATTTCATTCTTTGCGACTATTTCAAAGCAGCCACTAGTTTCATTAGTTCTGAGAAGGAAAGTCAGTATGGGTTTAAGTTGTGCTAAGGCGCAGGGCCCCAGACCAAAACAGGATGAGGGCCCGAAAAAGAAGTGTGCTTTCCTCAGTTGCTGGAGAAGACTGAGGAAGAGACGGCATGATGAGAATGACAGGGTGAGCATGGCTGAAGTGAGCCTTGAGCTGCCCAGTGAGAGTTCAGCTGAAAACTCCATCAAAGAAAGTGTAGAGCAGATGAGCAGCCAGTACGAAACGGCAAGCTCGGGATCGGAAGATGATGGAGATCAGCTTCGACGAAGAATCGTCAGAAGTAGACTGGGTAGGGGAACCACCCAGTCAATTAAAAAAGGAGACCAACAGCGGGTGAGATGCAGGGTCGATAAAAGACGAACCCGATCTGAATCAGATCTGAGGAGACCCGCTGAGAAGCAACAGCGACGGCCTATGAGGCAATTTAATTGGAGGAGACCAGTTCCGACAAGGACAAAGTCTGACACTGAACTGGTGAGGCCCACAACGTCAGACTGAGCAGAGCCCAGCTGCGGACTGGGCCTGGAGAGGGACACCAGACTCCTGTAAGTAAATAGTGAAATGAGTATGAAAAGAAAAAATAATGAGTACAGATATACAGACTTTCAGATATGCATCCTTTACAAAAAAGGAACACAGAATCACTAAAGTTATTGCATTGTACATATAACACAGAACTCAGATTGTTAGATATGTTGGAATTAGGGGATTCAAACTTGATTATGCATGGAGATACAGGGGATTTCATTCCATATACGCAGAGATGACTGTTTAGGTCATGGTCTTGATGAGATTCTCATCAAGTTACACGTGTCGCTAAAATGAACAATGCTTCATTTGCCATTTGCACAAGTACACCGGAATGCTTCTTTTCATATCCTATCTCCTCTCCTTTGAGACCTAGACACAGTTATTAGTGCAGCTTGCGGTCTGAGCACAGGCTCAGTCATCTGTCTTGGGATGACTACTGTTAAGTACTTGGAGTTCTCTGGTTTCGACTGCTAGTCACTAAGTATTCTTCAATTTTGACTAAAAATATGACAGATGTCAAAACCTATTTTTACTATGTACATCAAGTTTGTAGTACCTGGGACTACAGTTTTTCTGCGTACTTGTGCCTTATTAACTTGAAGTTGAGAATAAATATTTTGTTTGAGAAAACACCAAAAAATATCACACCGACAGTTATTTTCAGTCATTTCAGTTATTTTATTAATTTATTTTATGCATGCATGAAGGGGCACAAACTCTCTCACACTGAAAGAGCTGCAACAATATTTCTTTTACTTCCAGAAAGAAAAACATGTATGCCTGAAAAAAAAGTTATATGCCTCTATAGGCTACAGGCATCAGGCAGGGAACCAGCCAGTAGGGGGCACCAGCCCATAGCTGGTATTACGTCTTTTATTCCTGCTAATTTTGTTATACAATACAACTCTGTTACCATAATAGGGAAACAAGTAACACAGAGTATATATTTACATGCATGCATATGCTGTACATGCATAGTCCATTCATGTTCATCTGGGAAAAATTGAAAAGAATGAAATAATATTTTAGGAACAATTACAAAAAAGTTTTTAAACAGTATTTTTAAAGCCTAAATATAATAGATATTGTTAGAAAACATTTGCATTTCTATTTTATTTTCCATTCTTGTTTTTTTTAACTCATAAATGAAAATACATATAATAATACAAAATAATATTATACTAATATATTTATATTACTAAACAAGAAACAAATAAATTAGGTGTTGAATCTTACTGATCGTTCCATTTCTGTCATTGTAAATACTTTTAAATATAAAACAATTACAAAAGACATAAACCCTAAAAGTATGTTTTCACATACTAAACTAAGCATGTTTTCACATTTGGTCATAGCTTTTGTCAATAGAATATTGACATCAACACTAAATTTGATATTCACAATGAATTTGTTGCTCTTTCCATTAATTTGTTTTCATGGTCATCAAAGGTGAAACATTTATTAAACCCCAAATTTAAGAAAATCAAAGTATGTAGATCATTTGATTCACTTGATTGAATATTTTGTCCTGATTTGGACCAGAATTGTCCGGAGTATATTTAAGTAACTCTATTACCAACAGAGGGGGCTGTAAGCACACAGATCATGATGTGATCAAAATCATTTCCTGAACACCAAGCTTGTTTTTATCTATTAGTCTGGAGAAGATTGGGAAGCCATTTCTAAGACCCTGGTGCTTCACTGAGATGTTGCCAAAATCATGTCATAATATCTCATACCAGCGTCCACATGTAGCATAATCCTGCCTCTCCCACAGCTCAACAGCGCCCCCTAGTGATTCCTGTCACCATGTTGTAATGGGGTTTGTGTGGTAAAGCATCTACAGTACCTTAATTTACTTCTCCTGCCTTCCCTCCAGGTGGCTCCACATGCGCCACTGCGCCTCACTGTGTTTGCCCGCAGCTATACCCGTGGATCCCAGTGGTCACTGTAACTGCAGCTCTGCTCTGCATGCGCCTCTCTGTTTTCATATACATGCAGAGATACAAAAAATGGTCTCTGCATGTATATGAA